CTAGAACTGATTTTTTTAGTATAAAAGGAATGTTAGCATATTTGACAATATTCTAGCTGGTTTTAACAAAATGTTATCTGTGCAGTAGATAAATTATGAAGTTATACATATGAAATGTTGTTAGTGTATATATCAATTAAATATTTCAGCCTGATTTAATCTTCAAGGAAAAATCAAATTGTCTTTAAAATATACATATGGCAGTGATACCTCCAGATATGTTACAGGGTTGGATTGCTGTGGTTGACTTATAAATAGTGGGAAGATATGGTGTTTTATTGTAACGTTTTGTAGATACATAGTTTTATGGGAGAAATGAAACTAATATGTCGTTTTAAGGTGTATACAAGTACACACACAGACAGCTCCGTTAACTTAATTTAAAACAAAAACCAAAACAAAAAAACCCCTTGAATTTCCTCAGGCATTCCTCATTACTAGTACTTTCATTTTCTGTAGACATCTGCAGAGCAATTGAGTTGCTGGAAAAATTACAGAGAAGTGGAGAAGTGCCACCACAAAAGCTACAGGCTTTGCAAAGGGTCCTTCAAAGTGAATTCTGTAATGCTGTGAGGGAGGTAAGTTAACGTGACGGAAGCAGTTATCTTGAGTTAAAAAACAGTATGTTATGCTTTTTCCTTTGTGTTCAGTGCAATAATCTGATTTTGTTTTTTCTAAAAGCTGAATTTGACTTCTGGAGCTTAACAGAAGACGACTTATTTTTAAAGGTTCAGAAGAAGATAATTTGGGATACCATAGGTGTATTAAATAATGGCTCAGGAGCAAATCACTTTGGCAGCTAGCAGGCTGTTATCCTCTTGGAATGTCAGAATGGACAAAGTACGAATTGTCTCTGTTTCTTCTAAGCCAAATCTGCATCACCTTGAGGTGGAGCCTTGCACCACCTCATCTTCATTCCAGATACTCTCTTGGAGATTTTTAAGTGATTGAATACGCCCTGCTTTTGCTGTTGGTGCTACCACTGATGATAAAACCTGGAATGATTTAAAAGATCTGTTTGTAGACACAGGTGTCATCTTACTGTTTTCATCCTATGGAGGACAAGTATGTTTATTGCTTAGCAAGTCTGAATGATTGGCAGGTAGATGTGAGGATGTGGATTAGCTCTTGGTGTAAGCACCTCCTTAGCATTAGTATGCTTACTGCCTCTGTGTTTTTGATACCCTTTTTTTCTTAAGGTATTCAGTCAGTTGCATCAGTTGAAGGAAAATACGGGGTTTTAGGGGGAGGGCTGGGTTGTTGGGAGAGCTTTGAAGAGCTGTCCTTAAGTGATTTTGCATGCATCCTTACTGAAGAGTTCCAGCTTGAATCAAACAAGAGAATGTCCATGTCTCCAGCCTGGTGTATTAGGCTAGCCATAAGCACTTCTAAATTAATGGTGAGGTCCGAATGCAGTGGAAGGAGGGAAGATTTAGATTGAGACCTAGATATGCATGGATTAACTGAGCAGTAAAGATGCTGAGAGAGTTGAGTTGTTTCTTCATAGTATGGTAGATTGTCACTTGACACCTTGTAGTGAATCAGGGAGTAACTTCTTATTAGAGGTGTGTACTTTTTAATGTACGCATTTTTAAGTTGTAACTGATATTTTGTTACACTGTCCAAGCAGAAAAATATCTGTTTTCCCCATACTTAAACTGTTTTGTCTCTAAAGGTGTATGAACATGTATACGAAACTGTGGATATCAGCAGTAGCCCAGAAGTTAGAGCTAATGCAACAGCAAAGGTAAAAGCCAAACTATAACTTGTGTAAAATACAGTAGTTTGTTACTTTAGAATCAGAAGAAGATTATTTAAAATTCAGAAGGATATTATCTAGATGTCTGATAAAATGGGGAAGCTTAACTGGTTATTAAAAGGTATAACAAAAGACTTGTTCTTTTCAAGTTTCTTCCGTTTCCATTTTATTCTTGGAGTTCTAAATTTTTCATGCTAGTGTCGGTACCTAGGGAATTAATTTCATTTGTCTTAATATTTAAGTACTTTGAGATAAAAATACTTTTTCAGCCTGCTCACTGTGTCTAGCTAAGGGTTCTATATTTAATTTCTTATAAATAGGAAAATCTTGTTTCTTACAGGCCACTGTAGCTGCATTTGCTGCTAGTGAAGGTCATTCCCATCCCAGAGTGGTTGAACTACCCAAAACCGAAGAAGGTCTTGGATTCAACATTATGGGAGGCAAAGAACAAAATTCTCCAATCTATATCTCTCGAATTATCCCTGGTGGTATAGCTGATAGACATGGAGGCCTGAAACGTGGAGACCAGCTGCTTTCTGTAAACGGAGTGGTAGGAATTGGTTTTCACTTTATGTAGCAGTAACTACTTGTTTCCACTTGGGGGCATACAGAGAATATACGTGGCACAAGCTCGATGTCGTCTTTTAATCTTGGCAAAATTGTTTCTTTTTGTCCTTGCAAGAACAACTTGCTTCGGTTTCTGTAGAATTGTGTGCATTGGGAGTTCTAGGATTGTACTTTGGTTATCTATCTCAGCTGGGAACTGTGCTATTTATGTCATATTTCAGATTCTGAGGGGTTGTATAAATCTAACCAAAGTACTGTTCTGTGAAATAGTATTAAACTGCCATTATGGCTTCCTCTTTCATCCAAGTTGCATGATGCAGATTTTAATTTAGTTTTCTGCACCTTCTAAGGTAAGTAGTAAATTATGCTATGTTGTGTTAGACTGACCAGATTATCATTATCCCAATGAAAATGCTACTGCATAATGAAAGCTGTAATAAGATGGAACTACAAGGTGGTGTTATCTTCAGTTGTGTAGTATTTTTTTTCCTTCCACTTAAGTGTACTGAATTTCAAAAACTGAGACTTTCTAGCGTATTTTAAGGGGTATATGTCTAAAGTGCTGTTGTGGATATTTATTTTTAATAAGTATCCTCTTCTGAAGATTACAATACAAAAAGCAAAACACAGGGTGACTGGAAAGAGGAGGCTGTGGAAAGAGGAGGCTATGGACAGGCTTTGACTTAAGGCAGCTGCTAGTCAAATGCATGTAAATATCTCTCAAACTCTTGCTTTTATTTGCAGAGAAGCTGTATGCTAGCTTAAAATTCATGTTCTCATAATTACATCTGGAAACCCAATTTTATTTTAAGACTGAGGGTCGAACTAAATCCTGTGCTCTTTAACCTGAGTGGGTTTTTTTGACACGTGAAAGGGATAGAGACTTACTGGGTGTCTGTACTCTGGGAAGTCCCTGCTAGCACAGATCCCTGACATGCTTGGCTCCTGACTGTTACCTGGGAGTCCAATTGTCCTTTTCAGGAGATGTAAGAGAAAACATGGCTGTAGTGATGCAACTGTCCTTGGCCTAGCCTTCCTGTTATTTTGAAGCATTGAGGGACAGTAGAACTAACTGTTCAGTAGAACAGTTCTACAGGTTCAGTAGAACTGTCTTCAGATGAGGCCTTCCTCACCCACAGACCCTCCTAAGGAAAACAAAACCACCACTCCACCCCAAACTGAACCTGATCATCAGACAGTTGGTACAGCTAACAATGACTGCGTGTGTGTGCGTGCACATGTGTAAATATATGTAGCCATTGTAAGAATACAGTGAGTGAGTGTATAAAATACTGTTGAGAATGCTAATGTGGTCTCAGAAGAAGAATGTTCTTCTGATGTTTACAGATGGAATCCTGTCATCTTAATACATATGACAGGCATTTTCTTGTAATTGTAATTTCTAATTTAATACTTTAAAAAAAAATTGCCACTGCCAAGACTGCAGTGGATGTGCCTTAGAACAAGTTTATTTTTTTCAGCTGGGAGATTTTGAGTGTACTTCAGAATTCTAGGTGTTTTGATATAATTAAACATAGAACTTTACAAACCTTTTATTACCAGTTTTAAACAGAACAGCCTACACATCCACTTGAATAACAAAAAGAAAACATTCAAATGTATGTGTTGTCTAAGTCTGATAGAAGAGAAATAACTTGGGTTTTTTTAACTGTTGTCTTTCTTTCTGTAAGTAACTTTATAGTAACGGGGAAACCCTCCAATCAACAGGTACATCACCTGCCTTCTAGCTTCTAATAGCACCAGTGGGAGGTAGGCTTGGGGTAGTCCCATCATTGTGTTTAATAAGTTTGGGAGAAATAAGTTTTGCTGATAAAATGTATGCTGTCCAGGAATGTGTATTTGGATGCAGTTGTTGAGAATTTTTGCTTAAATTTGTAATTAGATGAATCTAATATAACCCTAATAAATTCTGAGAGTTGTTTTAGGAAAGTATTTTTATTCTGTTCTTGCTGAGTTGGGTTAGGCTGTTCTTAATCAGTTTAGAGGAAATTAACTTGAATACCTTGCATTTACTGAGAGACGTGGGGAGCACTAAGATAAGCAACACACTGCATGTTAGCTGCTCTATTGCAGGTGCCCAGTATGCACTGTTATGCCTTGTTGTAACACGGGATAACATCAAGAAGGCAGCTATCTTGCAGTTGTCTGTGGCAACTTACTAGGCAAATTGAGGGTGACTACTGAATATAAAATGCATGCCAAAAGAAGATAAACAAGCTTGAATTTTAAATAAGTGTCGTCCCGAAGTTGTTGATTTTTAAGTGTAATTTCATAATTGCCTAATGTTATCCTTATTTCGCTGACTGTATGTAAATACAGAATTTAATTGATCAGCATAAACCTAACCAAAAGCTTCACGCTACTCTTTTGTTAATACTAATTAGTATATTCATCATCACCTCTTACTGATTTGCTGAAGAATAAATCCTGAACTTGGGTGACGTTGTCCATGTGCAGTCTTCAAACTAGAATACTTCAATATTTGATTATATGGAAGTTGTACAAAAAATGGAAAAAAATCTGTTTTCAGTGTGTGTCTTTACTAATATTGTACTTAATGGTTTATGCTTTGCAGAGTGTCGAAGGTGAACACCATGAAAAAGCAGTAGAACTGCTGAAGGCGGCTCAAGGAAAGGTTAAATTAGTTGTGCGATACACGCCAAAGGTCCTGGAAGAAATGGAGTCGAGATTTGAAAAAATGAGATCGGCAAAACGCAGGCAGCAAAATTAACATTGTATGCAATAACTTAAAGAGAAAATATATTCCATTTACATTTTATAGTTTGCTTTGTGACTCAGTTGATGCAATGCCTGGGCTACAAAAGACATTGTCCTTTTCATAGAATCACAGAATGATTGAGGTTGGAGGGGCTCCTGGAGATCATCTAGTCCAACTCCCCTGCTCAGAGGAGGGTTAGCTAGAGCAGGTTGCTCAGGACTGTGACAGGCTGGGTGTTTGAGCATCTCCAAAGATGGAGACTCCAGAAGATCTCTGGGCAACCTGTTCTAGTGTTTTGATCTCCCTCACGCTACAAAGGTCCATTCTTATGTTTAAATGGAGTTTCCTATGTTTCCATTTGTGCCCATTGCCTCTTGTCCAGTCACTGGATGCTACTGAGAAGAGTCTGGCTCTTTTTATGCCCTATCAGGCATTTACACACATTGGTAAGATCACCCCTGAGCCTTCTCTTCCCCAGGCTAGACAATCCCAGTTCTCTCAGCCTCTCCTTGACTGTCAGGTGCTTCAATCACATTATCACCTTTGCGGCCCTTCACTGGACTCGCTCTTGTATGCCCATGCCTGTATTGAACTGGGGAGCCCAAAACTGGACCCAGAACTTGAGTTTTGTCTCACCAGGGCTGAGCAGAGGGGAACAATCACCTCCCTCAACTTGCTGGCAGTGCTCTTCCTAATGCAGACCAGGAGGCTGCTGGGCTTCTTTGCCGCAAGGGTACATCGGTGGCTCACGGTCAGCTTGGTATCGTTCTCTGCAAGGCTGCTTTGCAGCTGGTCAGCCCCCCAGCCTGTACTGGTGCACGAGGTTATTCCTCCCCAGGTGTAGGACTTTGCACTTTCCTTTGCTGAACTTTATGAGATTCCTGTTTGCCCATTTCTCCAGCCTGCCAAGGTCCCTCCGAATGGCTCGCTGAGAGTGTACTCTGACCCATCACCTGTGTTATTACTGAAAATGTTAAACAGCATGGACCCCAGTACAGACCCCTGGGGTACATCAGTAGTGACTGGCATCCAGCAGGACTTTGTGCCACTGACCACAACA